TTGGCATATGGATAAAGATACGTGTCTGAACAAAGAGGGGAATTAAGATAGCTATTTCGAGCAGTTGCTAACAAAGGCAATACCGTACCAAAATGTGTGAATACGAAGACGTGGATTTGGTTAAAACAAGAATGTCATAGGAATAATTTGAAGGAATGCAGAATTAATTGAATGAGTCATGATATGAGGAAAATCTGTTTACAATAAGAAATTTATTTGATTATTTGTTTGTGTGGTTGAAGTTTCGCGAATCGAAATTCGCGACATTTGCTATTTTTTGATAAGGTTTATAGCGTGATACTGTTTCATATATTAGCAGTAATGTAATGGTGATAAACTGAAATATAACTTTTTTATATCAGTTTCATTTCATATTTCTGTATATTATTCTAAATTAAGAATTTAATTATTGACTAACAAAAAATATTTTTTTAATAAGAATTTTACCTACTTTATCGTATAATATTTACCCATTTTATTCGATCTTATTAGAAGAAATTCTTTGAAAAGTTGCTTTCTGTGTCCATAATATTTCTCATATTCACTACAAACACATACTTCTCTTGCATCTTATCTCGACAATTAAGACAATATTTTAGTTCTGATGAAACCATTTATTCACGGACGACTCGACTTCATTAAAACACTAACATTCTACATCTTTTTTTCTGTTTTGTAAAAATTATTCATTCCAAAAGTAAATGAAATATTTTTTTATTTGTAATTATTAGCAGAATTCCGTGATTTTTTCTGATATTTTTATGTTTCGATGATATTGTTGTCATGGAATGCATTCGTTGAAAAAAAGACGAAATCATTTTATGCGTATTCGTTGCAGAATTATTGATCACATTAAAATCATTTAAAATATCCTCCTCTTCTTTTACATTTTACCCAATCTCAACATTATTTATTCTCTTTCAACAGTTTTTAGTTCTATTTTTTTGAATTAAATTTTAGAAGACTCAACTTTATCGCAAAAATTTGAAGAAAAAAATTATCCCGAAAAAAAGTGTTGAAGTTTCTAATATTCCATCAATAAGGAAGTGAATAATAGTATTATCGATTTGCAATTCTATTATAAAACGATGTCGATGACTTACAGTGTTACTTTTAGTTCCTGATAATATCAGTAGTTTATGACATCAAACTCAGGTTTTGCATACATAATTTGTCCTCAATTTTGAACATATAGTTCACGATGACATCGACAGATTTCTTGTTGACATCGTTGGATTAATCATTTCGAGAACTACACTATTAATGAAAATGACATTTTCTTCCTTCCATTTAACTTGATAATTTGTGCAGAAATTATGTAAGGAAATGGAACTTCAAAAATTATTTTTCTTATGATGAATGCAATCATCATCCAATCATTTTTTTCAATATTATATAAAAAAAATGTCGATCGATACGATTGCATTCATTTCAATGATTTCTGTATTTTCCAATGCAACCTTTGAAAGCGTTTTTTCATCTTGAATTTGATTGGAAAATTTGGAAGTTTTTTCATTATAAATTTATATAACTTTAATGCAATATTCAAATGTTTTTGATATTAGTATTTCGTTGGAATTAACGCTATAATTTTAATACAATATTCAAATGTTTTTGATATTAGTCGTTTCGTTGGAATTAACGCTATTAGCACAACTGTTGTTACAATTTGCTATTGAATACAGGCGAAAAAAAAATGGTTGTAATTATGAAATTGCTGAAATTCAGAATACATTATGTGCTATTTTATTATTTCATTTTATGCCTTTTCCATGACAAATTCCTATTAAGTTATAATGGATTATTTGGCATACACAAACATAAAAAAGCATTCCGCACCAGTACTTTCCGCAATGATTATGTTTTACAACGTGTAATTTCTTTTTTTCTGCCTATTTCATTTCCAATAATCGTTTACAATTTCTGTAATTTAATAAATTACAATAACAATGTTGAATGATACTTTAAATGAGCGAGAAATCTTAATCCTTCCATAAATAACCAAAAGAAATTTTTTTTGGTCAAAATAAATTAGACCAATTAAGAAATGAGGAATGTATGTTAATTTGTTAAAATTTATTTTTTTCGCTGATGTATGATAACTTTGAAAAATTTGATTGAAATTTCAAGTTCTGGTGCGCATATTTGTCAAAAGTGATATAAAATTGAGAAATTAAATGTAAATAGATAATTCGAAAAAAATAGTACCAAAATTATGAGTGAAATCAGTAATTGAATTTGATAAATTAAGTATTAATTCAGTATTCTAAGAAAAAAATTCTAAGGATTTCATTTCAGTTTTTATCGGAAATTGATGATACTCCGGCAATTCTGATGCTTAATATGGTGAGAGCATTCATTGTTGCAAACAATTTATAGATAAGAAATGATAACAAATTTGCTTGATAATTATTAATTTTTCCAGTATGCGCTAAATTTAACTTTGAATTGGTTATGTAATGTGGTCAGTTTCTCAAATGTCCATCGAAGACTTTTAATATTTGCATTTGATCATACAACCTACAATACAATTCAGACATCCTGGCCAAAAATTAAAGTTATATTTTGGCCACTGCCCGAAATGGTAAATTTTAACGAACAGTTAGTAGCTATTTCCATTTTGCTGTAATTCTCACAGCAACTTTGAATAATGTTTGAGAAAGAACCAAATTTAATTGCATAAAAGTCAGAGATCAGTGAGAGGTAAAAAAGCACTAGCGTTAAGAATGATTTCAAAATAATGAAAAGATTTGGAAAAAATTTATTCTGTATGAGACATTATCCGATTTGATCATTTCATTTTCTGTTTACGTTATTTAATTTCTTCTGTTTTCTAGCACATAAAATTTCAAGTTGGTGACAGTCGCTATCAAATGTTTCAATATTTTCGTGCAAAATTATGCACATATTTAGCTAGCATAGGCCGTGATTTTTGGATAATTCAACCGGACACTTATTGGCGCAAAAATCTGTTTGAAATTACGAGTACGTAAGAATTTGATCATCAAAGATTAAATTGAAAATTTATTTACGCATACAAAATAATAAAAGATATTATGTATGATAAAAGCATAAAGAAAACAAATATTTTTCTGGCATTTTCTTTTTTTCAACTCTAAAGAGTTAAAAAACTAAGCTTTTGGATGGGAATGGAATGAAGTTCAATGATTTGCATAAGTTCGGATTTCATAGCATTTTAGCATAATTATTAGGTAAATACCAATATTAAGCAGTTAGAAAAGTTAAGTTGATGATATTTTTTCTTCGAAACAGATACTCAGCAAATGTTGGGTCTAAATGGAAATCTACTTTTCGATCAGGAAGGTGATAACAGTTTATTGATTGAAATGATCGCTGGTGGATATTTCTTTGTCAAGGCAGGCCCTAAGTTAGATATCAATTTTTTTTCTCTGTTTTCAAAATTTAATTCATTTCTCAAAATTGGTTTATTAGTACTCGGTTCAAGCACTGCCACTAATGTATCACTAATAAGATTGCTTGAAATAATTATTTGAAACGCTGATAGGAATAAATTGAAATTCTAAGCATATTAAAATTTCGAATTCTTGCAACAAGTTAAAAAAGTGATGACAGCATCATTTGAGGTCAGAATGCTTTTTCAAAGAGCTTTCAAGACAACTGGAGAATTACTATGCCACAGACAATAATATCATGGGAGCATTATGTGTCACAAAATATTGTGGTAATAAATGCGCATTCATACCTTACAGGTAAGTTTATTTTACCGTAAGCAAAAGAATCATCGTCTAAAACTTTAGGAATGTTTCTTAAAGACTCTTTATTTCAGTATATTTGCTCTCAGTTTATTTCATAATTTAATATATTTGATTATTTATTGCTAAATATATTTCGCTTGAAGATTTTTAATATAAAAGTATTAATTAAAAAAAGATTTTCGCAAATTTTTTCTAATTTTTCAGTTTAATCAGTAACTGGCGATGGTACTGGAGTGAAAGAACATATATTCCAGCACTGCTGCAATTTGATAATGGGTTAAGTTCGAGTCGAAAATTTGATAATATGAAAAAGCTTGGCGCAGAATTTGTGAATATCACCAAAATTAAGAATCATTATCAAGCTAAATGTTTAATTCGCAAGACAATAACACCGGAAGAAGCCATTCCTGAATGGCTAGTCCTTTTTTCTTGTGTTTAAATTTTATTAAAATTACAATATATCATCCTACATTACGAGAGGAATGAGGAAGTGGCAACAACAAAATTGACAAAAGCGCTGAGAAGAATTATTATTCTACAAAGCCATCAAAAATTATTATTTATCGATCATAAATTCAACAGTGTACCATTGGTTTTCATTTATTCTTTTCTAGTTTAAAATAAAAAAAGCTATGCATATCGAAATAAATATAAATTATTTCTTTTTTTTGGATTTTCAGGCGTTTGAAAGCAGAAGGAAATGATTTTACGAAAATGCAGCAATTAATTGCTTTTTATCATCAAATTTGTGAATGGTTATATGAAAAATTTCCAAAAATTGGTTACATTCTTCATGTATACATATTTCCCTACTATTCATATTATATTCTCTAAAGATTGTTTTGTAAAGAAAAAAAATTTATAAATGTTTAAATAGTTGACGATATTTCATCTTTGTACGATATTTGCTATCAAATCATTCAATGCATTGGTAATAATTCCACAAAGAGGAAAATGATAAGAAAAATCATAAAATATTAGAACCATACATTGTATAAATAAATTTCCGTAATTTGATTAATTTTATCATTCTCATTTTTAGAAGTAATAAAGTTTAATTATATGAACGAAATATTTTATTTTACAATTGTGTTATTTTCGTTTCTTTCTAATTAAAAGTATTGAGATTAATGTTAAAATATAAATTTGGCATAAAAATATTGTCTAATTAGCGAGCAGGATAATGCCTAATTTATAGAATAGTAATGAATTGTATTATCATTGCTTTTCACCCATAAACCTGAAATTTTATTTGATAATATATTTGCAATAAAGGTATGAATTAAAAGAAATAACTAGGATGTATAAATTTAATAAAGTAAGCAAAAATAATTCAATAAAAAACTTAAGCCAAAAAATGCATGTAATAAATACAATTAACAAAAAAATGCAATAAAGGCTACAGCGTCAATAATGAAATATGCAAATACTTGTATGTAAATGAAAGTAGAAATAGAAGAAAATAATGATTGTAATTGTTAAATTAGCAAGTTGTTGTATAGTGAGAAAGTATGCAAACTCAAACTTCACATAATTTATCATTTATTACATTTACTGCACCAGTAAATGCGACTATCTTTACGACCATGAATTTGTATCATCTAATTTTGCTATAATTTGACTTCTGATAAAAATCGTATATTATTAGTTATCACTAGAAGGAATAGCTCTGGAAAATGGTATTGACGATAAAATTTATTGTTATAACTAGTAAATTCATTGGAACTTGATTATTTTTCTTATCATATCATAATAATAATAATTAGTAATTGAAGTACAAAAATTGATAGATATGATTTCGATTCTAGGGAATATTTTATCATAATAAGTGTGTACCTGAAAGCTTTATTGGTTAAGTTATTGATTCTTACAGTTGTTTTTACTGCTTAGCACAGTATTAGAAACTTTCTCAAATATGTTCATATAATATCGAGTTCCAGTTGATCTGAGAGCATAGTGTCTAACGTAACTGTGTGTACCAGTGGGTAGTAACAGGACAGTCATTTAGATATATAGATATATGGTATATCTAACAGAAATCATATAGAGATGTATGATAAGTCACAGGATCATGCAGATATACATGGGATAAATTAGTACGCAGTGTCGTGTCATGAAGTGAAAGAAAGAAGCGATGGGAAAAAAGGGATCTTTTGATTACTCATTAGCTACATTTGTTGTTATATAT